CAATCCCCAGAGATGGCTCAATTGCAGGAGAAAGCCGAGGGAGACGGTCCCTGGCCATCTCTGCCCAAGGCCTCCTCTGAATGGAACCGCAAAGGGCTCCTCCTCAGGCGGACGTCGGCTGGGGACTCGGGCAGTCCACCAATGTTGACTGAGCGCGTCCGGTGCCTGGCGCCGATCCAGGTCCTGAGGAAGCAGAAGTAATGGAGGGAGGGACCCCTGCTGCCACCTACGGAACCTCGCTCCAGAGAGGGCATGCCCAGGGGGCCTGACCCGGCCGGGAGACAGGGAGGGGGCACAGCACGTGAGCCCCCCGCCTGCATCACCTTCCGCATCTCCGCCACTGCTTCTTGGATGATGGGGCCTCCTCCACTGGCCACCTGGGCCTAAGGAATTTGCCAGCGGGTGCTTTGGAAACGAGAGGAAAATCTACGCTGGCAGATCACAGGTGGGACCTTGTTCCTGAGAGACCTCCTTGTCAGCACTGAGGGGGTCCTCGCTTCTCTGTGTCTGAGCCTGCGGGATGAGAATCTTCGGGTCCATGGCTCGTGGCTGCCGGTGGCATGACTAGAATACGGTGGAGCCATCTCTCCGTGAGCCGTGACCACGACCAAGTTCCAGGCGGCATGTCAGCACCCTCTGTGTCCCCGCTTCTCCACGGCCCTCCCCCTGGGGACACCTGAGCGACTGTGGCTGGAGTCGCCCGGAGGCCAGCCTCTCTGGAGAGCCAGGCGGACAGCCTTCCAATTCGCTTGTCTTCCTCACAGTGAGGCGGGTAGGGACCTTCTCCAGGGCCTGATGTGGGTCCGAGAGCGAGAGTGCAAACCGGCCAGGTGTCAGGAAGGGAGAGGCTGAGGGACAGACGCAGCCGTCACCTTCTTCACGCAATCTCGACTAGACTCTGATGGGTGTGTAGCTGACACTCCTCTCTGGAACCTGTGCCACACCAGAGGAAAAGGACGCTGGCCGCTTAAACAAAAGGCGGAAATGCGGGCGCAATGGTCTGCTGGCTGAGGGCGGTCCTCAGAGAAAGGCCTTGGTAACCATGTCCGATAAGCGGGACAGATACGAGAACCTAGCCAGCCACCTGGCCTCCAGTCGTCCCCGACCCTGACCTGCGCAATGCCAGGAGGGGTGGCCCATGCTGTGGGGAATGGCGGGCGCAGCCTCTGAATGCTGGACCAGATTTCTCCTCCCGGCCTACCCCAGCACCTTCCCAGGGCCCCCGGTCTTCCTGCGAGGAGAGTAATTGCCATTTTCCCTCTGCAGATGAGGAACCCAAGGCAGAAACTCGGGGATCCCCACCCCCCAGCACCAGCAAGCCCTTACAAAGTCAAAGAAGAAAATGCACGTCTTCTGCAGGCCAGCCTCTTGCGAACACCTGTGCTACCAGAAGCGCTGGACTGGGGCAGCCGCGATGGAAAGCCAAATGGCAGTTCCTGGAACACGGAAACACAGACGTACCGCATGATCCAGAGATGCCACTCTTGGGAACACGCCCGCAAGAGCTGAACGCAGGGACTCACACAGATATGTGTACATCACGCCAACCAAAATTAGTCACAGAAGCCCAAAGGTAGAAGCAACCCGAAGGTCCAGAGATGAATAGATACACAAAATATGTTTTGTGTATACCGTGAAATATTACTCAGCCTTAAAAAGGAAGGCTTTTTTTTTTTTTTTTCAATACAGGGCTTTTACTGGGTCTTTAAAATATCACAGGTGGGGCCTCAGGGATTGTCTGGCATCTTGCCATCTCTGCAGCTAAATAACTTAGATATTATTCCTTAGCCCACTGAGTGGTTCCTTTTTCAGAAACAGAGATACCATCCAAATTTTTCTGATAGCCTGTTCTTAACAGTTGTGGCTTGCCGAATCAAAGCAGCTGAATTTGATTCAAGTCCACTGTCATTTCCTTCAAAAATTAACTCATCTTTCTGGGCTCGAGATACCGAACGAGGAACGCCGGCCTCATGTGAACCCTGCAGATGTGTTTTTTCGCCTGAGAAATTTCGGATGTCGACAAGAGACCCATTCTCCTGGGTAACGACATTGATGGAAAGTGAGCGTATTCAGACCTCATCGTGTAATGGGAGCCCGTGTCACGCCCTTGACCATGTTCCGTACACGACCAGAGGTCGTGACAGCAGTGATCCGTCCTTTTTGTCCGCTTGGAGCCTCTTCTTTTTCTGTCCAAAGGGACCGAGTTCTACGCCGACGTGACTGGGGTCCCACCGCAGGGTCCCCTAGACCCCGTCACAATAACCACGCATCCCCTCAGAGTGAGGCTGACGTCTTCTAGAATGCCCACGCTCCGATGGATGAGGACGATCTTCTCTCACAGCAGATGTGGCCAAAAGAGAAGAAGGAAGTCCTGACACATGCTATGACGTGGGTGAACCCTGGGGACACCGTGCCAAGTAAAACAAGCCCGGCACCGAAGCACAAACACCGCATGGGTCTACTTAAATGAGATATCCAGAGTCCAGTTCACAGAGACAGAAGCGGAAGGGTGGCCCCCAGGGGTAGGGGGCGAGGAACTAGCGGGTCAGCATTTCCTGGGGACAGATTTCAGGTTGAGAAGATGAATGAGTTCCAGAGACGGACGGTGGTGACGATCACACAGCAGTGTGAACGTACTCAACGCCGCTGACCCGTACACACAAAACAGTAAAATGGTAAATTTTATGATGCATACATTTTACCACCACCACAACATCGACATTTTTTAAGAGTGTCAGAGGACCACGTGGACATCAGGTAACCGCAAACACTCTCTGCCCTGGAAGAGTCATGTCCCATGTAGCAACAAGATCTCTGGGACTTACGACCAACCCTAGCCCTTCCGATGTCCAAGGAGATGAAATTAAGAAGCGGCCAAGTGGGCTGTGACGACTTTTCGCCTTTAGCCTCGGTTTTATGATGCCCGCAGCCCCGAGAGGTGAGGACTCGGGCTTCAGGCCGTGGTCCCCTCGCCAGCTCCCTCCCCCAGCCCTCTGATCTGATTTCCTAGCAAGAGAAAAGGTAGCATATGGGAAGAGAGATTAAGCCTTGAACTCCATGTGCCCAACCCGCTTCCACCGCCTCCCACAGAGAATGTTCCAGATCAGAGATAAGTCGTTGTGCTCACACTTGTATGTTTTCTTGCATCTATTAATAGACAGATTTTGCAGAAGGTCGTGGGAAATACCTATGGAGTGTGAGCACGGGAGCTGGGCTTCAAGGATGCGAGGGAAGCAGGTGCCAGGAAGCCCGAAAGGAGAGCGCGGGCAGCAGGTGTAAATGTCCTCGGCCTCGGCCTCACGGCTTAACATGCGATAGATGCGTGCACGAAGCAGAGACCATAAAGAATATTCACCCACACTTGGAAAAGCCAAGGGCCTCCCTGGAAGAAGCTGAGCCACTGGTTAGGATGGCCTCAAAGTGTCCTCTACATGATGTCGCCATGAGTCATCCATCGGGCCAGGAAACTGGCCAGCTGGGAGACTCTACTGTGGCTCTCAGCATACTTCGTGCAGCCAGGCCTGTGCGGAGCTCCCACGAAGGACCTCAGGTACGCTGGCAAGTCCTTAGGAAAAGCATCCAAACGACGAAGCTGTAAATAAAAACACTACCGACTTCTCTCGCAGACCTGCCGTGTTTCGTGGTCATGCTCCCTTCACTCCACGCTTGTCATTAACGCGCGTTTGCTGCCGTCATTCCTGGGTGCCCCTCCTACTGTTGTTACCCTGGACGTCCCACAGAGAAAGCCATCATGTTTCTCCCAAGTCCCAAGTGAGGAAATTCTGGCGCAAGGTTTGTGCGGTTCACTCAGGCAGAGCGCAAGGTGGATTAAGTCAGCCCGAGACACTGGGAAAACGCCCGGCTGTGTGCAGCCCCTTGGGGTCACCAACAACGCCTGACCAGTGCCTCATGTTCAATGATTCATCTGACCAGTGCCGCTAAGGCTGTGATGGCACCTAAGATATTTATACCTTTTTAGGGCCCAGTAGGTGAAGAGCACAGCATGGAGAGGGCATCTTAGTCAGAGGGTTGAGTCAGGGGAAGCTTCTCGCTGGAAGCTGATCCGATAATGAAGGAAAATATAATTTGAGAGATAAAGTAAATGAAGGCGTTCCAGGATGAGGGAGCCACATGGAGGACCCACGCAGAGGCAAGGAGTACCTCTTACCCGAAACCGTGACACGGATTTCCATCTGTCTCTTGCAGGTTTCAGCTGCCCGAGTGGGTCATCCTGGGACCGCGGCATCCATCCAAGTCTCGTTTCTAAGCCTCAAAGTTCCAGTCCACAGGAAGTAGGAAACCAGTCCTTGGAATTCTGAAATGTGGCCTTGACCTGCCTGGCCCCTCCCCTGGAGTGGCGTAGCTGCAGGGTAGGGGGTGGCGGACACTAGAGCTAGACAGGAGGGCTGGAGACCAATGTCAAAGGGCCTCCTGGGCCCTGCCAACGAGTGGCCATCCGTCCCACAAGCATAAGACTCTCTGCACCTTATCCACTTGTTCCTGTTCCAGCCCGATGAAGAAAGATCGTACTGAAGCCAGAACAGACAGTGTCCAAAGTGCTGAATTGCCACCCATTCTCATCCCCTCCCCCAAACCCCCGCACCGTGACTTAGCGGGGAGGCGGCGGGGGGGGACTTACTAATACTAAAACCCCGAAGAAATGATAGATGGCTGCACTTTGCCTCATCAGCTGTCACCCGAACTAATGGCTTCTTGCTTCCCCTTCCCTCTTTACAATTTACAGCCGGCTCCTTATGTACCTGAGGCTGGGGAAGTGATATATCTCAGGCCATGTTCAAGGGAGAAACTTACTCCTCAAGTCTCAATTCCAAGATAAATAAGCCCTTCCTGCCATGCCCTGAGCTCTCAAAAACACAGCCATGAGTGAAACGCTTTGTGGGATGCAAGGCCAGAGGTATAATTAAACTTCAAAGAGTGTCAATTGCATCGCGCTCGCGAGAAGTATGCAAAAAAAAAAAAAAAAAAGCCTCACGGAAAGAAACCCTAAAACGCCCCACCACCTAAATCCATCTTGGGGAGAAGGAAAATAAACAAGGGGCGAGGGGCGCCCAATTTGCTCGTCGCCTTCTGCTGACGTGGCACCGGATATCGCGTCTCGCCGTCCCCAAAGCTCATCCTTACAGAGAGACGCCTTCTAGGAGTCCAGTTCCCATCCTGCCTCCTGAGCAAAAGGGGTAATGGATGTGAAAAGAGGTAATGAATGTAAAAAAAAAACAAACAAACGAAGCAATTATCACGTGCTAATATTATTAGTGTTTTTTAGGTCTCGTTTGTTGAGAAAATGTCAACGGCCAGGGCTCTAGAGACAGATGGCTGGTTGCGAATCCCAGTGGAGGCTTTCGGCTCCGTGACCTTAGGTAAAAGGCCCCGCCTCATAGGCCTCAGTTTCCTCGGCTATAAGGCTATAAAATAGAGGCGTTAAGTAGCACCTACCTGCAGGACGTGTGACAAGGCTCAAATGAGTCATTCCACAGGAAAACATGGACTCGGATTGGCACATACTAAATAGCCAATAAATATTAACCCTTATTATGCTGCGATTCTTCCCAACCAGGAATCAGGGGCGCAGGCTCTGCCCAGCACACACCAGTTTGATTTGCAAAGACGAACTCTACCCTGTGGCTAAAATGTCTGCCTCTCACCTCACCTGGCACCTTCAAAACATCCCCAAGGGCCTAGGGGAGAGAGTGGGGATGAGTCAGCCAGCAAAAAAGCAAATTAAAGACGCAGTATCTGCTCCTCGTTCGAAAGGCAGCACTTGGACTATGAAACCATCTTGATCTTTAAGAAAGAATCTTGCCAGAAGTCCCAAATCTCCTTATAAAGACACGTCAAACAGAGAAGCAACACATATCACTGCTTACAATCCCAAAAGTCACACCTGGCCAACATTCCAGGTTACTAAGGATGAGGCTGATACTATCTCTCTAAAGGCAGAAATTCTAGGGGAAATGAACATCAACAACAAAAAACTTACAGAGGGGAAAAAAAAAAAAGAAAACCTGCTCCTTTTATACCTGTCTGTAGCTGTCCAGGCCTGTTTTACATTAGAATGCTTAAAAAAAAAAAAAAAACCCACAGCAAGTTTTACAAACTAATCTACGTGGCTTATAGAAAAAGTCATCGTGGGTTTGTCCATTAGTTCGCAGCCCGACTTCTGATTTTAAATCTTGCCAGCCCGAATGACTATAATCTTTAAAATGTGAGGACGCTGAGGTGGAGCCTTGCCCTGGCCTTCTTCTGGGCTGTCCCGTTTGCTTGAGCAAAGACTGCATTTAATACCTTCAGCGTTTGCTCTTGCCTCGAAGCTACAGACAAGTATGTGCTGCTCTGTTCTAAATATGGGAACAGCGAGTGTAAACAGAAGCTTGAAGATTTGCTTTGAAGCCGGGCAAAGCAGCCTCTCCCAAGCGCTGGGAGCCGGCGCCAGAGCTGCAGAGCCAGTGTCCTCCGCCTTTAACGGCCAACAGATTCATTCCGGGGCAGCCTCTGGTCAAACCCGAGGCCAGAAATCTGATCTTGACCTTCGTGCCGATGGGAATCCCACGGGGATCCTCAGAGTGGCCAGATGAGTGCTGAAATATCGCTAATAATTAATAATGAAGAGAGCGCTCCGAGTTCTTGTTTTCCTGCCTTTGATCTCACACCGTCTCCCAGGATTTCAAATCACTTCAAGACCAAACCTTTTACCCACCGTTGACCTGTAAGCGACCTGAGCACAGAACATTGCCCTGTTGTCAAGAACACAGCCGCTCTGAGCCTGTTAAGCATGAACTGAGGAAAGATGCCCACTGAAAATTAAAGTGTAAATTGAAGGTAGGCAGGTTATAATTATCCACTTGAAACCCAGCCAAGAAACGAAGTTTAATACCCTTGTTTTGTGAAAAGCAGCCAGGCCGTTCTCCTAACCGTAAACGGGCTTTACATTTTCACCTCCTCTAACGCGGGGCTGGACCATTGTCCCTTGCGGGGCAGGGCCTGTCCTGTGCACTGTTAAAATGCTTAGCAGCATCTCTGGCCTCTACACACTAGATGCCAGTGGCGCGCGCACACACACACACACACACACACACACACACACACCCAGAAATGCCTCCAGACGTCACCAAATGTCTCCTGGGGTGGAAGCTGCCCTCCACCGCGGAGAATCACTGCTCTAACTCAACCCCTCAGCGAGGCAGGTTAGAAGCCACCGAGTTCCAGAGCCTTCCACTCCTCCAGGTTGCTTGAAGGGTTTCTTGTGAAAGAGGGACACTTACCTGCCTGAGGATCTTGAAGATCCAGAGAAACTTGATTATGAAATGGGTCTTCAATCACAATGTCCATCATGAAACTTAAATTATGAAACAGGGACCTGAAAAAAAACAATCAAAGAAATAAGACGACCTAAACGGTCAAATGCTACTCTCCCCTAGGTAGCAGGGGATCTCTTTCTGGCATGTGACTTCCCCGACGAGGATAGTCTTGTGACAGCCTCAACATCCACCGTGCCCACCCACCTCTCAGACTTCCTGGGGTCAGAATATTGCTCTCCCACCCCCATCTGGAATCCACAGCCACTGTCAAACACCAGAACAGCAGGCCTGCGTCTAATCACCTGAAGGCACTGTGAAAACCTAGCCCCCTCCCTGACCACAGCCTGTGGCCTGCAACTTCTCACCCTCCCCCACAGCACCCACAAAACCCTCTGGGACCTCAGCACCAGGAATTCGCCCCCACTGCGTGGTCCACGTGCCCTCCTCTCCCAGACACTGTGGCTCTCAAACTCTTTTCACCAAAACTCGCCATGTTGTGCATCATGAATCACCGTCCCGCCCAAAGCCCCTAGATCGCGTATACAAAAATACATTTTATTTTTAAACTTTTTATTTCGAACTGATTTTAGACTTACAGAGAAGTTGCAAAAATAGCACAGAGGATTTCCATCTATCCCTTGCTCCGGTATGAATGCTCGTATCCCTTCCCCCCTGCCCTGCCGCCAAATTCATATGTTCAAGCCCTAACGCCGGATGCCATGGTGTTAGACAGCGGGGTCTCGAGAGGTGATTAGGTCATGAGGGTGGAGCCTCATGAATGAGACTAGTGCCCTTATAAAAGAGGCCCCAGAGAGTTCCCCAGCCCCTAAGATATAACAAGAAGGTTCCACCTCTGAACCAGCAAGCAGCCCTCACTGGACACAAAACCGGCGGCTGACATGATCTCAGACTTCCAGAACTGTGAGGAATAAAGTTCTGTTGTTTATAGAAGCCATCCAATCTGTGGCAGTTTGTTATAGCAGCCTCAAGAGACTAAGACATCCTCATCCAGCTGCCCCGCCCGTTAACCGTTTAATTTACATAACCAAGTGTCAAAACCAGAAAATCACCCCTGGTGCAATGCTGTCAACCAAACGGAAGACCCTGGTTTTGCACGAATGTCTCGCTTCTGCTCCAGGATCCTCTCAGGCCCCCGGGGCTGCATTTAAGTAGTTCTCCTCAGTCTCCTGAACCCCTGACAGTTCGTCTGTCTCTTCCTGCCATTTTCGAAGAGTATTGATCATTCAGTTTGTCAAATGTCCCTCCACTTCGGTTTGTTTGCTATTGTCTCATGATTGCACTGAGCTTATACATCTCTGGCAAAGGATGGTACAGAAATGACAACTGTTCTCCGACCCCCAAATACCTTCCACAGACATGTCACGAATCAGTACCTCTGCTCTGTGAGATGCACGTTGACGTTTTGTTATTGCTGTAAATGCTCTTTACCGAACATATTGCCCCCTCTAAGGGGCCAGAAGACACTGCCCAGGGCCAGCCGGTGCCTGAGGGTCTCTCTCCTCCAGCTGGTCCTTCTCTGCCCCAGGACCTTGCTGGCCCCGTCTTCCTTTCTCTGTGCCCAGCTCTCCCTGTTAAGCTCTTGGACTTTATGCCACCGCGTCTTCTGTCCGGTCACAGGCCACTAGGCTTATTCCCTCAGGGAGCTGGCCACTCCTCCCATCTCCACGCACTCGGGAAACCCCATCCCTGCTCCCCACCTCTGACTTCCAGCTGTTTCGAAGAGCTTCTGTGGATGCCCTGCCATCACACTAAACGCAGCGGGATCAAATGTCATTCGTTTGGCGCTCTCTGGAGCGCTGTCGCCCTCCTAGGCCCGTCAGGGGTGCACCTTTATTCACTGCCCTTGATTCTCAGGCGCGGACCCCGCTCTCCCTGGGCTAGGAGCGCCCCGCAGGCTGCTCCAGTCCCCAGGTGCTGATCCAGGGGTTCTCGAACCCCGGAGCCACCCGGGGGGCTTGTTAAAGACGGATCCTAAGGCGTGCCCCCCCAAACCAGAATGCTGTCGCCAGGGCCCGCGGGACCCGCACTGCCGCCTTCCACCGGCAGGTGTCTCTTTGCTGGCACCCGAGCCAACGGCGGAGTCACCAAATGGAGGCGCCTGGGGAGGGGCCGCCGGGGCGGGGCGGGGCCTCTGCGGTCCCCGGCCGCGGCCCTCACCTTTGAGACACTTGGTGGCTGCGCGGCTGGGGGTGGGGCGCTCGGGGCGCCTCGTCACGTGGGGAGGAACTGCCGGCTCCTGTTCCTGGGCCTTTGGTCATCTGAGCCGCGAGGCCAGCGGCGCCCGGTCCCCTCCAAACCCCCGGCGTGGGTCCGTGCGGGACCGGGACCCCAGGAAGTCACGCGGCCCCGCCCCAGAAAGCCTAGGGGGAAAGGCCTGCTCTGCCGCCCCAACAGCTTTTCCCCTTAGGGAAATGCAGTTTCCTAACCTGTCCTGTTTTGAAAGAGGCCCACTTATTGGGCAATGACGGCAGCGGGCCAGCGCGAGTCTGCCCGTAGCCATCGCTTCTTTTATTTAAGGACTGTTATGGGGTGTCTCCAGGGAGCCAGGCACTGTCTGGGAGATTCTGGGGAGGGGAGGACGACACCCTGCCCTCCTGCCCAGACTGCCCCAGAACTGAGGCTTCAGGTGACAGGAAGCAAGCAGGCTCTGGGCCCTTTCCTTGAAAATCCAGGACGAACTGGAGGAAGCAAACCAGGCCCCCATACTTAAGCCCGTGGTCAGGAGGGGGTTAATGCGGGCTTGCTTCCTTTGGACCTGTTCGCTTCATTTTATAATTAACAGTCAATAACTGCTGGGAATACGATGCTGACAAGATGTGTCCCTGTCCTTAAAGGCCTGGAAGCCCAGTGGTGCCAGAGGCCAGCAAAGCGTAAACAAGAAAATGCATGGGAACTGCTCCAACTGGCCCATTAGTTGTCTCCATCCCACTAATTTACCCTGTAGGGCACAGAGGACCCAGGAGAGCAAGGCCCTGATCGGGCTCAAAGGCCAGACCCACAGGAAAGCCACCACCTGGTGCTATCGCCCAGGTAAGAACATGCATTGTCCTGTGTTCCAGGACAAAATCATAGGAGCCTCCCAATTTCCGAGTTCGGGTCTGCTCTGTCTTCACTGATCCCATTTCCCTATAAATTCATCTCCTGGGAAGGTTCTGGAATCAGTATCAAACGACCGGAGGCTTTCCTGCTCTTGTCACGACACTGGCTCGAGAATCTGGCCGCTGTCGGGGAGGGAGAAGGTTCACCCTTTACGTAGCTTCCAAGCCGCTCCGTTTTTGTCGTTTGCATGTGCTGAGATTATGGTCGGGCCTTTGTGTTGGCTTTTTGAAATACATGTTCAAAAATCAGAATTCCACGGAAGACTTCCTACTTATTTAGGGTACCAGAACACTAGCTGTGACATTCCAACCTCTGACGCTTCTAGGCAGCAAAAATTTCATCGCGCAGCCAAAGAAACGGGCACACATTCCCGTGACACGTTTTCAGGCCGCGTCTCTGCTCCTGAGTGTTCAGGTCCAGGAGAGTGAGTCTGTGCTGCACATGTTCGCTAGAAGGTGCCTGGAGCCCCTCCACCCTGATGTTTTGTCCCTTTTCCCCCTGAATGAGAAACACACAAACCTCTCCAAGCACCGTTAGCTTGTCTTTTGTTTTAATTTATAAAATACACAGGCCCCTGTGTTCAGTATTCGCCGAGTTCTGTGTCAACACTCAACTTTTAGTGCTATTTTCTAAAAGAAAACTTTGCCTCATTGAAAAAGGGTCTCGTTTACCCTGCTGTCTGGCCACAACAGGGTTAAGTCCTTGCCGGTGACCTACACTGAGTGCCATGGGGTAATTCACCTCCATTCTCAGCCACCTAGTGCTAAAACCATCCTCTTTGGAACAGACGCCATGCCTTGTCTAGAAAGATACTCATGACTATCTATCAGGGTGGACATGTGAATAAGAAAAGTCGTTTTGTACATTTTGGTCTCTCTTAGGATGCTCTCCGAGGACAGCACGCATTTCCCAGGAAATCAAAGTCTTCCTCCTCAGAATCTCGCACTTTCCAAACCACGGTTCAGAAAACGGGCATCATCTCTACAGAGCGAATCCCGTCATCCCATCCAAAACACGGAAAACATGTTCACTCAGAAAAACCATTCCACTCGGCCCACTTAGAAAATGTTTAAACGGGAAAGAGGTGACCGACCCGTGACCACCTCACAACACTTTGGAACAGGAGAAGGTTCTTAAGTACTCTCTCATTCGAATTCCCAAGAATATCCCTCCCAGGGGGCTTTCTCACAGCTGGGGGGACAGGCCTCAGGCAGGGACGTTCCGAGAGGCCCGCCCTTCCCAAGTCGTAGACATGTCCCTGAAAGTCCCAGAGCTCTTTCTCAAGCGTCCCTCGTTATCCCGGCCTGTCCCACAAAGTGGCTCCCCTTCCGTCCGCCGTAACTCTTGGGGGGTCTCCCGTTGTACTTTGCAGTCTGGCCTCGTCTTATTCGTTGCGTCCACCACAGATGGCTCGAGCCCCTAAGGTACGTCGGGAGTGAGAAGCAATGTGACCGTGAAGGATCGTGGCGAAGAAGGGGAGTCTGTGGCACAGGGAAACGCAAAGCAGGGCTGAGGGCTGGAGGAGGAGCCCGGCCTGCGGCCCTAGCGGCCAGCTGTCCTTGGGCCTGAGACACGGCTTAATCCACGTGGTTCCGTAACCTCAGGTGGATTACCTGCGACCCAAGGGCCTTCGCCAGGCAAAGACAAAGCCAGGAACACCTGGCTGTGTGAGTTTTCCTCTGCAACCTGTCCGTTAAGGGACCCCCAAGAGCACCGAAGTCCCCGAGGCTGCATTCCGTGGGGCCCAGACTGCCTCCCTCCAAGGCCAACCAGATGACACATGGCACTTCCTCTGGTTTCCCTCCCCCGAGGGCCAACATTCAAGTGACTGGAGTTAGCAACGGACTCTGTGGGTTGGTTTTTGCCGAAGGCACAAACCCAGGGACTTGAATGACAGATCCCCATGTGCCAGGGAGGAGCCCGGCAACTAGGTCTCCAGTCACCTGCCCGCCCTGCACGTCCGTCAACATTCCCTGAACACTGACCCTCAAGGCCCGGCGGGCCACACCCTCTCAGAAGCGCAGAGTCCCAGCAGCTGGAAGCAATACATGCAAGAGGAGGAAGGTGCTGAAGGCTGACTTCTCCTCAGATGTTTTCGGAAGTTGAAGGGTGCTACGACCGAGTGGGACGGGGTGCCACAGCCCTGGGAGGGGGCGCAACCCCACCAGGAGCAGCTGTGTGGGGGTCGGGCTGGCCACACGCCCCCCGGCCTCAGTATGCGCAGCTGCAGGATGAGGAGGTCGAACTGGACGGCCGTTCATAGGCTTCTCATCTTCAACTTTCTATAATCTCGTGAGCGGGGAAGATTTACGCAGACCTTTCTCTGATGTTATGACTTGTAGTTCATCTCTGGCGACACAGCCAGTGGCAGCCCGAGTGTGCGGAAGTAAGTGGCTCCGTCGGGGGTGATTTAGGAGGCGCTGAAAGGCCAGAGTGCCTCCCTCACGTCTGCCTGCCCCAGACTAGACCCAGACCCAGGGTGCGAGGGTGGGCTCCATCGAAGGCAAACACCCACACTGCCCACTGTGTCTCACAGAGCACGTTACCTCGGACTTGCCCGTGGGTTCCTGGGATGGCCCCAGGAATGGCGCCCAGTGCAGGCCCAGCCACCAGGAAAGGTCTGGGCACGCGGGGCATGGTGGTGGCGGACGGGGCTGGCCGTGGAGGATGTAAGGTCGCCTGCAAGCAGCAAAGAGCACCCAGGGCCCACTGAGGCACAGCCCTGAGCCCTGCGCTTGCTTGGGGAGGCTGGTGGGCTGTCAGCGCAGGCACTGTGGGCTGTGTTTCGTTACTAACCTACCCGGTTACCTTCTCCCAGGGTGCCCTGCGGAAGCGGGGAGGAGACTGTGGGCCAGCCAGCCTCCAGGGCTCCTCCTCCTCACAGGGAAAGCCTGAAGAAGTTTGGGCCTTGGCCTCTGCCATCAGGCTAGATGGCAAAGAGACTAAGGAGTTGGCTGCCCTGCAAAATGTGGCCTGATTCTACAGTGGGGCAGCTGCCTGGAACCCACAGTCCTTTCCATGGTAGGGGGCCCAGCCACCCCCACAGCTGGCCATGGGACCCGTCATCCTTCTCCACTTGGCCATCTCCCTAAGGAGCCACAAGCCTGCCATCTGACCCACCCACCCCGAAAACGAGGCTTGGCTGTCAGGTTGTCATGAGCCCTTTCAGTGGCTTCAACTCTTCATCTATGAAAATGGAGGAAGGATCCCTAGGAGGGTAGCTCCCTCGTGCTCCTACAGGGGCTTAGTTATCAATCTGGTAGCAGAAGGAGGTGTAGGAATAAAAGCCAGCAGACAGCTCCGTAAGGCGTTAATCCACAGCACCGGTTCCCCTAAGCTCCACCTGAGCACGGAACACGTGGGGTCTCCGGGTCTGAGAACCCGGCTTCCCACAGCCTTTCTTAGAAGGCTGGGCCTGTCGAATCTGAATCTCATCCTTGGGTGAGGATTAGGGTGTGTTCTGGTGACTTCTGAGTGTATAGATGTTAAGTAGTAGTAAAAATAGCGCCTGAAGCAAAAACGTCCTTCGTGCGGTCTTGGAGCCTGACGGACTTTGACAGCCCTGGCGTGCTTCGCCTCTGCTGGAGGTGAACAGGAAAGGAACACACACGTGCTGGACCACGAATGTCCAATGTCCTGTCACTATCACACACACCCCCCCCCCCGGGGGCACCACAGGGACCAAGGATCCCATGTTTTTCCACGGTGTTCTTCAGAGTCCAGCAGAGATTTCTAGGTGTGTTGTAAGGGTCCCGTTAAAACCTTTAACTGGCCTTGTTGGTCTCCCCCTCCTCGAGACTGTTTATTTCCTCTGTCGAAGAACGGGAATTTGGGGGACTTTAACAAATCCTATTGGCCAGTCCAGTAACTTGGCCCAGGGCTGCCAGCCTGGGGCCCGCCGGGGGTCCCCTAAGGAAGCATAGGAGAGCGGGGTTAGCTAGAGACAAACGCGCCATGAGTGCCTACCCCGGAGAGAGTCTAGGAATTCAGACACCTGCCACCGAAAGGCCTCAGCTACGTCCTGAGGTAAAGAAGCGCTGCTATGTCCACTGTGAGAGACAAGTCTGGGACAGGCCGCCCCGCACTCCACGGCCGGCAAACCTACCTACCCGTCCTCCAGACAGGTATCAGGTCCATCTGTGCTGAAGCCGAACCACTTTGTCTCACACCGGCAAATCTAAGTCATTGTGACGTGGGTTTTGGATTCGGGCTGATGTAGGTTTGAGTCCTGGGTCTGCCACTAACAGCTGTGCTGCCAGGGGCCAGGTCACTTAGCCTATGCATGCCTCCGTGTCGTACCCCACCCCCCAAAAGGCCCGCCTGATTGTTACAAGGATTAAATGCAACAAATCTGGCAGAGTTCTTATCCTTAGCACAGTGCCTGACAAGTTAGCTGCTGTTTTTCATCGTGTGCCTACTATGCGCTGGGCCTGTCCCTTGGGAAAGCAGGGACTGTCCTCTCTGCACAAGGCCCCTCATCACACCTCCTCCAAACAGGCTTCGGCTGTGGCCCTGGATTTACTGTGTTCGAAGACCTGGAGGTGTGGTCATTATTCCTGGCAGCAAAATACCACACACACACTTTCCCTCCCGGGGACTCCCGTCCAGCCCCCACTCTCTTTACACCTACCTTCCCTGCCTGGTACCCAAATAGGAAATTCGGCTCTCAAAGCCCCTCTTGTCCCAGCGGCCTCCTCTCCTGTTCTCGCGCCTCCCCCAGGCCTCGCCACGCACCTCGGTCCCTTTTTTCCGCCCTCCTTTTCCTCTCTAAAATAAAAACGAATGCTGCCTTTTTATCTGCGCTGAACTTCAAGGGCAGAATCGTCGTTAAACAGAGAGGCGGAGAGGCTGGCCGCGGGCCGGGCGGAGCCACCGCCCTACAGCAAGGCCAGCTTCCAGGCGCAGACGGGAGGGAGCCGGGCGGCGGGCCCGGCACAGCGGCAAGCTTCCCCCCACCCCCGCCCCCCCGGAATTCTTGACCCAGGGCCTTGCAACCACACTCTGCCCCAATCCGTGTACAGCCGCAAGGGAGCTGCCTGCGGCCTGGGCCCAGGGAGAGCGGGGTGGGGGGGTAGGGGAGGGCAGAGGTGGGGAAAGGACGCAGTGGGGGCAGGGATGGGAGGGAGGAGGTGGGGGAGAAGCGAGGGAAGGAGGCAGGAGGTGGGGAAGGGAGGGGGAGGAGGAGGGAAGGAGAGAGTTGGAGGCAGGAAGAGACGAGGAATGGAGGCAACGTGGTCAGGAGATGAGGGGGAGAGGAGGTGGGGGGCCGGGAGGGAGGAAGTGGGGGAGGGGCAGAGGTGGGAAAGTTGGAAGTGGGGGAAAGAGATGAGAGGCAGAGGGGGGAAGGAGGTGGGAGGCTGGGGGGAGGAGGGAAGTAGGGGAAGGGAGGGAGGCAGTGGGGGAGGGAAAGAAGGAAGTGGAAGGAGGAAGTGGGGGGAGTAAGTGGCAAAAGGAGGAGGGCGCAGGGTCCTCAGGGCGGCTGATGGGCCTGGTGCCCAGTGCGAACCCTGCTCGTGGGCAGAGAGGACGCTCTGGATAATATGGGAGTGATAAGCAAGGTCTTTAGTTTCCCTAAAGCCCAGGAGCAGGCGAGCGGGTTTGGTTAGCGCCCGCAGCTTTCCTGAAACCACCAAAATAAAAACGAAAAAAAACCAAAAAACAAAAAACACACACCAACGAAGCCCGCCCTCCGCCTCGGCCCCGCCCCACCCCGCGGC